GAAAGTGTAAATAAGGACTAAAAGGTATAATAGATAATGTGAAATAGGAAGAAAAGGGGCAAAGGGGAAGGGGAAGTGAGAGGGGTAGGGGAAAGAAGGGAATGGGATTAATATGAGAAAAAAAATGGAAACAAAGTCTTTGTAAATAGGGAAGGGAACACAGGGAATGGGGAAAAAATAAGAACCAAGATACATCATGTACAAGTACAAGTACCCAATGATAAATGTAAACATACTGTATACACAAAATGTACCAATAAAAGAATTTAAGAGAAAAAAATAACAAAAGCACTATTCTACCTAGAAGTAAGACATTATTCTTTTTACAGCCAACAAAGTAAAAGGTACCAAATTTGCCCTACAATGGCATAAGAAAGAACCAATTAGTGCTTGCTGCCCTCTAACCTCTTCTTCAACCCAGTCCCCAAAACTTTTTGTTCTACCTTCCAGTTGCCAAGAGCTTCCCAGACTCTTACCACTGGTTCTAACGTTTTAAAATAGATGGAATGAAGCTGGGGGTGGTGGTGCATGTCTGTAATCCCAGCACTTGGGAGGCAGAGGCAAGAGGATCACTGTGTGTTCTAGGCCAACCTGGGCTGCATAGTGAGTTCAAGGCCAGCCTGAACTACACAGTGAGACCTTGTCTCAAAAAACCAAAAACCAACCAACCAAACAAAGATGGCATGATTAAGATGCCTATCAATTAATACACATATTTCCTGAAGTTGGTTCATCTCAGCTGGATGTTGAAAAATAACTGAATTACCTGATAATAAGGCCCATTAACAAGTGATTTACCAGATAACATTTAGAAGTGTTAACATTATATTTTTTAAAGGAGCACGAATTCCCTAGGATTTCAGATTGAGTGTTTCTGAGGATATTTGTGAGAAGGTGGTTTCTTGGTTATCTAAGTGATCCTGGAAATGGTGCCCCTCTTAAAATCCTCTGCTGGAATCTAGGATTCCTTTTTAAAATATGTGCTTTGTGTGCGTGTGCAGTGCTGGGAAATGAACCCAGGGCTTTATGCATGCTAGACAAGCACTCTAACACTGACTTCTAACCCCAGCCCTGACCTTTTTTTTTTTTTTTTTTTTTGAGACAAGGTCTCTCTCTGTGGTTCAGGCTATCCTTGAGCTCACTGTATAGCCCAGGCTGGCCTCCAACTAGAGGCAATCCTCCTGCCTTAGCCTCCCAAGGGCTGGGATTACAGGCGTGAGCCACCACACCCCTCTTAAACCCTGACTTTAAAAATTTTCTAAAATACAAGCTTATCTGAGAAAGAGAAATGGTCTTTCTCTATTTTGAACAGAGTTTTCAATGTGTATTTTGAGGATTACCTGCCTCAGACTGATCTGGAGAGATTCCCAGTCCTCCCTTCATCTATTACAGCACAATTTTCTAGCTGGCTCAGGAATCTGTCTTCTAACAACTAAAAATCTCCCCAGATGATTTTTACATGTGCATAAATGTGAAACCTCTGACCTAGGGGGATAATTTTTAAAAGTAAAGCACCAGCATCATTTAGGTTGTTGGATTCTTTCCTATTACAGACCACAGGCCAGAACTTCAAAGAGTATCATGTAAAAATCTAATTATAAGAAGACCGAATATAATGTTAGGAGACTAACAATTAACGAATCTATTTACAAGATTGTGTGTCCTTTTATTGTAAATTACTTGTGTGAAACATCTCAATGAATTATACATGTGGAACATCTCAAGTTACTTAATCCTGACTTGCCTTCCATAAAATTAAACAGCTGCCCAGTTTTTACTATGCTACCTCCACATCAGTCTCTAGTAACCCCAGAGGCATTCTCTGAACAAGGCTCATTTCCTGTACCAAAGGAAATGGGCTTAAAATGAACCGAGTTTGGTCAACTGCACAAAATTTAAGCTGATTAAACTTAAACTGGTTATCAAAGGAGACTGCAGCTTTAGAGATGTTTTAAAATAGGAAATACAATCATATTTTTGGATGAGTAGGGTGTATAGTGGTCTAAAGATAGAGGGTCCAAATAGAAGATGCTTTAAGATTCTTTCTTGCTGTATAATTTGACTAAATCATCTCTCCACCCAACTGAACATTAACCTTTTTTAAAAAAACTAGCTGATCCTTTGCTAGAATTCCATGTGTTACAGAAACACAATTTAGTTGCACATAACATACAAAGAAAGAAACTACTTAACCTAGTAACACCATATTCAGATAATTCAGATACCAAACAGAATTTTTCATTGGAATTATTTGGCCACGTTAATTGGATAACTCCCCTTCAGTTACACCACATATAAGAGATACTCTCTTATATTTTGTTTTCAATTGTTATTTACTCCTGATTCTTGTAAATTGTTGCTACTTTTCTTCTCTTAAAATCTAAATCATAGTTCAATCAATGTTACTTACCTTGAAAGTCTTCCTTCTTCAGAGCAGGTTGCATTGCTTTTGCTAGCAGAGGAGAAAAGAGGTATGAAGGATAAGGAACCCATAAGACAACTGGGAACTCTTAATACAATGTAAGAACTGATCCAAACGGCCTTTTTCAAAAACTAAAGAACCCTTTGAAGATTAAAGGAGAGCTCTCTCTTTTTTTTTTTTTTTCTTTTTTGGTACCAGGGATCGAACTTGGGTCCTTCCGAGGCAGGCGGTGGAACCACTGAGCTAAATCCCCGGCCCAAGGAGAACTCTTATTGAAAGATCATAACAATAAAGATAATTCTGTAAAACAAGTCTACCTGGCAAAACTTTTAAAACATAATTTTATTTTTCTTGCAGGAGATCACGGGAAAATCTAGTATTTTAGTTTAAGGCATGTAACTTCCATTCCTGTTACCATATTTGGGATTTGTTCCACAGTAACTGGAGGTGTTCCAACTTATCTGTGGAACCAGGCAGCTAATAATCTTCACTCAGCATCTCATACTTTGTGAATGAAAATGGAATGGATTGGTGGGATTAAGGGGTAGATTTTTGGGAAACATTGGTTATTTTGCCATTTTCTCAGTGTACAAATGAAAGCTTCTTATAGCTCTACAGAGAAATAGACAAGGAGGGGAAGATGTGAGGTTGGGGAAGATGGACCAAGAACAAGAGGAAAGAAGAATTCCAGCCTTCAGTGGGGTCAAATCCCCACTTCTATGAGCTTCACTTTACTATATAATCAGAGGCTGAAGAAGCCACTTAAAGTCTCCTCTACCATTTTTTTTTTCTGGTACCAGGGATCAAACTCAGGACCTTGTGGTTTCGAGGCAGGCGCACTGCCACTGAGCTACATCCCTCGCTCCTCTACAGTTTTTTAATGGAACAGAAATGCTAGTCAGTTGTCAACACAACCAATGTATTCAGATTTTTAAAAGATGTTTTCCTTTGTGATGTACAAGAATACAGTAATCGGTATCTCAGGCTGTCAGGCTTCAAGGTCAGGTTGAAAACTAATGAATTTGTAACAGTCTAGTTAGTGCTTTTAACTGAGGACGCTGATACCCAAGTGCCCAGAAAAATAATTTGGAGTCTACTGCCCACTAATTTACCAGAAAGCCCTGTCAATGACACAACGTGGGGTTTCGTAGACCTGTGAGGTAGGCCAGCACCATTTCGCTGGGGAGTTAAAACTGCTTGGGACAGGGTTGGAAAGGTTATAATTTGAGGAAACGAAGGGGCCAGCAGGAGGGTATTTCCAAGGTCGCTGATGAAACGCGCCGCAGAAGAAAAGGCGCTCGGAATGCCGCCGTGGGGTCCTCACCGGGGCCCCGGTTACCCGCGCCGGCGACCCGTGACCGAGACGGTCCCCAGAACTCACCCCACAGCGCGCGCGCACAGGGCGCTCGCCCCTCGCAGTCCGCCCGCCCGCGCTCACAGAGACGCCCAGCGCGGCCGAGGAACCTCCCGCTCAGCCCCGCAGCGCTGAAGGGCGTCACCGGGAGCCAATGGACGCCGGGAGGCGGGACAGGGCGTTCGAGGGGCGGGATTTCCCGCGCGGCCGCTGGGCGCCGGGCTGGGGCGGCGCGGGCGGCGTCAGCGGCAGTGTCTGCAGGAGGGCGGGTCGGGGTCAGCTGTTGCGGGCGAGCGGGCGCGTCTCCTGGTGCGTCCTCCCTCCGCCACGATGCCGGGGATCGACAAACTGCCCCTCGAGGAGACGCTGGAGGACAGCCCGCAGGTGAGGCGCGGGCGGCGGCGGGCGCGGGCCTGGCGTTGCCGCAGGTGTCCGCCCGGGCCCAGGTGGGCGCCGCCCAGGGTCTTCACTCGGGCACCTCCGGGCTGCTGTCGGTGAGGCGAGGCGGCGGCGGCGGCGGGCGCGGGCCCGCACCTGGGCGCGGACGACCCTTGGCGCGGACCCCGGTGCGGACCCCGGCCACTCGCGCCC